TGAAGCTCAGGGAAAAGCAGACAGGAGAAGAACCACATGGGCAGCTCACAGACCTGTGAGTAATTAGTAACACGGTGTCAGGCCTCTGAGTTTTAAGGCAGGTTGTTCTGCACGGATAGCATATGTACAGCCACTCTCCTCTCTTCCCAGCAAGTTTTTAATGGAATGATTTTCCATATGAGATGTATTTGGAGTTACGTTTGAAAAGAGTATTTAATGCCAGGCAAGGTGGCATGTGCCTTTAATCCCAGCCCTCGAGGGGCAAAGGAAGGCAGATTTCTGTGAGATCACGGCCAGCCTGGTCCATACAGTGACTTCCAGTTGAGCTGGGACTAGGGTAACCCTGTCAAACAATAATAGCAACAACAACAGCAGCAAAAAAAAAAAAAAAAACCCGAAAAAAGTATTTAGGTCAAATTGAGAAATGCTTAATTTACGTAATATATATTCACAACTAAAAAAATATATACTTCATGTTCACATATAAATAAATATATTCACAGTATACTTTTTAATATAGTAAACACCTGAACATTTAAAATCTTAATTTTTGGAATCACTTATAAGCATCTCAAATTGGCCAATGTTCTTTGAAGTACGTGTTTGGAAGCATCTGCTGTTCTTCTTAATCTATTCAGAAGACAGAGATGCTTTGAGAGCCACAGTGAGGTGAACAGGCAGATGGTGGGGTCCACCTGCCTCCTTTTATCTTGTTCATCGTTTACATTATATTGCTGTAGAGACTTTTAATTTTTGGAAATAAAGTCTGCAGTAAGTGTGGTTCAACAAGGAAAGCCCGTAATGGCCTTCACTAATTCCAGATGATCTGAAACATGTCAAGAGATGTATTGATACACTCTTAAAACACAGGAAATGCTCTGGCTTTCAAATGAATTCCTGACAAAATCAGTGCACCTACATCCTTTTTCCAGCCTTCTTTGTGACATAATAGTTTCAGGTGGTTCTGGGTCGAAGGATTATGCTGATGTTTAAGTTTGTCAGACTGTGTCTCCAACATTTTAGTATGTACAGGTAGGTCTTTCTTGGGAAAATGTAAGAACTGTGATGGCTCTAAACCATTTCCATAGGCCTCCAGCTCTGAGCCCATCCCTCAGCAGGAGAAAAACAAAACTAAACCCCAAAATAACTTTGCCAAGTCAGCAAAATGCTCTGGCTTTGAGTGCAGCGGAGCAAATGCAGGTGTGCGCATGCGTGTGTCCAGAGGCCATCTGTTAGTGTGGTGATCCAAGCTGCGAAGAAGAGGCTGGAGGCAGAATAGGCATGAGCTGTTGAGCACAAACTGCAGGGACGGGCTGGGCAAGGGGCTGCCTTGACACAAACACTGGCTTCATGTGACATGGTTCCTTTGGCCCCAGGAGAAAAAAATAGCAATTGTCTGATAAGACTTGAACCTTAGGTCCAAAGACATTGATCTGTTCCTTTTTTCGATACACAATCATCCATTTTCATTGTTGTCCATTCACTCACTCACTCATTCAATCACTGGCTGACTGACTGACTGACTGACTCACTGACTCACTCACTCACTCATTCACTTGCTGACTGACTGACTGAGTGACTGACTGACTCACTCACTCAATCATTCACTCGCCGACTGACTGACTGACTGACTTGCTCGCTCGCTGACTGGCTGACTGACTCGCTTGCTTGCTGACTGACTGACTCACTCACTCATTCACTCGCTGGCTGAATCGCTCGCTCGCTTGCTCACTGACTGACTGACTGACTCACTCACTCACTCAATCAATCACTCGCCGACTGACTGACTGACTGACTTGCTCGCTCGCTGACTGACTCGCTTGCTCGCTGACTGACTGACTCACTCACTCATTCACTCGCTGGCTGAATCGCTCGCTCGCTTGCTCACTGACTGACTGACTGACTCACTCACTCACTCATTCAATCACTTGCTGGCTGACTGACTGACTGACTGACTGACTCACTCACTCACTCACTCGCTGGCTGACTGACTGACTGACTCACTCACTCACTCACTCACTTGCTGGCTGACTGACTCGCTCGCTCACTCACTGACTGACTGACTCATTCAATCACTCGCTGGCTGACTGACTGACTGACTGACTGACTGACTGACTGACTGACTCACTCACTCACTCGTTCACCTCTGTGTCGATGCTCCCTGGTAATCAGGACATGGATACGGTATGATTCCTGTGCTCAGTGGACACACAGTGAGGGAGGTACAGAGGAAAGGTGACAACTTCTGTTAAGTAATTCAAAGCAACAAGATTACTTAGGTGTCTATCAACTGATACTGCACACTGAGTGATTAATTCAAATTAGAACTCGAGTGTGGCTTTCACATCACCGTTATCGCTACAAGAAGACTAAAGACTGAATAGAATGTAGGACTCACTGAAGGTCACAAACTCAGTTATGAAGCCGGAATTTGAACTCAGATGTTTCTCCTAGCAAATTTTAGGTACAGTGTTGATTCCTGAGCTGTAAGAGATATGATTTCACCTAAAGTTCTGGGGAAGCACAAAAGCCAATGGCTCACACAGATATATTAAGAGAAAAAGACCACACACCATGGTTATTCCAAGAAGTACAAGGGTACTGTTGAGAGACTGATTACCCTGTGCGGGGAAAGGAAAGCTTCCAGAAAGAGGTGTGCAATCATTTGGAGTAGCTGACAATCCACAGCTCGGTGAGATCTGTTAGCTAGAATATGTCATAGCAACACCCAGAAATGTCTGCATTTAATCTAATTTACATCCTCTGCTAAAGATTTTGCAAAGACGTTTCCTTCAATTTTCCAAAGTTAAAAGGTGTGCATTACCTTTTTACAAATAATGGCCATCAGTGAGGCAAAAAGCCCCTCGAGGACACTCAGCAAGTATCCACGGGGACAGCTACAACCAGATCTCACACTTACTGATCAGGCTGTTCCTCTGTGGTTGATGGTTGATTCCCTAAAGGACAGCCCCAGGTTGATTCTCTTACCTGGGCCAAGCGTAGATCTGGACCCAAGGAACAGAAAATGAGGTGGGACCTAGAGTGTCAGACCATCGGGAAGTGTTCCTTCCTATGTGAAATGCACTGAAGCCCTACAGCTCCCTGGAAGCTGACTAGCATGTACCAGCAGGGTTACCTCTGGTTTCTTTCTCTTTCTGGATAAAGAACAGGTAACAAAGTGGCAGGCAGTGAGCTCATGGCAAGGATTCTGACACAGAGCTGCCCTCTCAGAGGGGCAGGGCTTCAAGAGGAAACCTGGAAGGCAGCATGATTCTAGAACAGAGGGAGACATGGGAGATTTCATGCACCTCTGAAAGGTTTAGGTGAACAGGATCAACTTTCCATATTATTTTCTCCTCAGGTTCAAGTCAGTAACTCCTTTGGGTAGATGACAACCCTTGGATGAAGGAACACAGAAACTGCCAAAGCTGACAGGAGGCAGGAGAAGTAAAGCAGTATGCTTGTCCCTAAGTGACAGTGTGTGTGTGCGTGTGCGTGTGTGTGGGCACGTGCGTGTGCACGTGTGTGTGTGTGTGTGTGTGTGTGTGCACGCATGTGACATCTCCAGCCTTTCTCAGGCCTTTAGGAATGTGTTAAGTCATCACACAGGATAGCTCCAGGACTCTGGGAACAGCAGGCAGGAGCCAGTGCAGCCCTTCCTGCAGTCAAGTATTCCCAATAAAACTTCTCATACCTTTAGGGAATGACCTTTTAGGGTTCAGAAAAATCAGAATTCCATTTACATTAAAGTACTAGGAATTTTCAAACATTCCTTTTGCAGGCTAGAGTCAATCGTCTAGTTGTTAAACATTCCTGGAATAGTTGTTTCCTGCCTGACCTTCAGCAACCAGGGTATTACAAGGACTTCCGGAAGCTCATGGCGGTGATGGGGAAGAAGTGCTATTCACAGAGGAATGAGGGGTACAGAGCCACAAACATAGGGGTGATCTGTGACTGATCTTCAGAGCAGAAATCCTTCAAAGTCTCCCTTAGAACTAGATGTGGGATGTTGGGGAGGGAATGCCTCTATTTTGGAAGGCTGTGCCAGAAGGGGGACAATGAGACCTGTGAGCTGATAGGGACCTTTAGACATCCTGTCTGTCAGGCTAAAGAGCTTAGGAGTTTTTCCTCCCCTGGAGCTATTAAAAGTGGAGAAGGTGTGACCAGAATAGTTAATAAAGTCAGAAAAATCAGGGCAGCAAATAGAGCATGCTTCCTCCACTATCTAAACCTGTCAGGGGCAAGTGAGTCAATCCAGGCACAAATTGAATTGAAGGGAGCTGTGTAATGGGGGCTGGACCAAATGAAACTTGAAGAGCTGACAGGTCTCCAGTGCTGCTGGCATTAAGAATAAGAAGTTGCCTTTGGCATTTCAGAGGGAGGACTGTAATCCAAGTTCTGGGCTCAGGACTGGCTTGCAGTAGTTACCAGGGAGCTGGGGGTTTTCCTTTCTGGCTCAGATTCCTAGGAGTCCCTCCAGCAGAGGGGGTCCAGATGCACTGGGCATTGTCCATAGTGTAGCCCACCAGCATGCTGGTTCTCTGCAAGCCTGCTACACATGGTCGTTCCCACAAGATCCTGTTAAATGGAATGGGCCCTTATACCCCCCAAAGGCCCTGACTGGCCCATCTGTTGTCCCTTTGAAACTTCTCAACTACTTTCAAATTGGATGGGTAGAAAAATGACACTGTCTTGTAGTTGATCAGGTATGATAAAGCCTCCCTTAGAGATGTTTGCCCTGGAATGCTTGGGACCTTGAGTCCCTTGGGCAGAATGGTTGGCATAATTCAACCCGTTCCATTCCCACTCATGGAACCAGACTTTGTCCCGAGTGCCCCTTGCTCATCCCTATCACTTTTCCTTATGCCTCAGTCCCTGTGGCCCATGAGAAAGCCCCAGCGAAGCCATATGGGTTGTAACAGTCATACCAGAAGAGCTTCCAGCCAAGTCACAGACATGGTCTCCTCATGAGTCTTGCAGTTGAGGGGAGAGGTACTTACACTTACAGGTTGACTTTTTGGCACATCGTAAACACCTTCCTTCTTTTGGCTGGTGGGAACCTAAAGAGAAATCAAATTCAACAGTCAAAACACTGGTGATCCACTTTCAGAGAACAAAGCAATCAGACTCTGCTGCAAGCTGACTGAGTATAAGTGACATTGTTCCTAAGACAGGTCCGGGGTCCAGCCCAGAGAGGTGGCTTTAACTGTGAAGGCCTCGTCACCTCCTTCCCTTAGGGAAATCAGATTAGGACAGCAGTGGGTGTCATATAATGAATCTCTGCTCCGGAGCTTTCCCCAGAATCACAGAATAACTGGAAAAGAGAGGCCCAAGTGCTGATTTGTCCAAAGTGATTAGAGACAGCCGGTGGCTGAGCATAAACATCTTAATGGCCTAGGCTATTAAAAATCAGGATCCCAGTACATATGCAGTTGTGTTGGGGTCACACACAAGCCATCTGATATGATAATTGCTGAAGGCTTTACTCAAGGAAACAGCCCATATGACAGGGAAAATAAGACACTAGGATCCAGAAGTTCTTTGATTTCACATCCCTCCATCTGGCCCTCCCTTCTTCCTTCCCCTGCTCATGCATCTGGTCTTCCAGGGTTACCTGTTCCCTGTAACATCCTGAGCTTCTCTGGCTTCCCTGCTCTCAAACGGGCCTTATCAGAGATGCTTCTTGTTCAGGTCATGGTAAGACTCAAAATGGGAAATACGGGTTTAAGATGAACAAAATCGATGAAGAGCCAACTTCTACAATATGTTAAGATGATCATTTCTTTTGTCACTGGTACATCATATACATATGTATACAAACACATTCTATGCTATTAATAGTGTGTTGAGTACTTTTCTAAAGTGTCAATCAAGGGCTCTGCACTGAAACATTCCAGATTGGAGGCACTCATTAGCAGCTCCTTCCCCAGCAACTGCCACAGCCCTGCTCTCTGGTGAGGAGACCAAACAGTAGTGGATTTGTAATGGCTTGACAATGGGATAGACAGGCTTTCCATCAGACTAGGTACTCCTCAAAAACAGGTACAGTGTGTGTTACCCAGAAGGAAGCCATAAAAACCTGCTAGATAAATCTTCCATAGCGAGAGATGTGTGTGGGGTACTGAAGTTTGTTAGGCATGGACCAGCTAGCTATAGCATTCCAAGAGAGTTTAAGAATGTGAGCTTAGTCTTGCAAATCGCTTCTTATTTTTACTCTTATGACACTGAAACTCCATACTTTAACCGTCAGAGGTTGGCATCATCATCTCCACTTTAAGCTGAGAAACTGAGGCTCAGAGATATAAAGGAACTTGCCCCAAACTTCAGACCTGGTGGGATTCAAAACCCAGATCTTTCTGGCTACTAAAATAAGGCATTTATTTTTTAATAGCATTAGCCTGGGCTGGACACTTCCCATGTGCTGTCAGGGTTTTGAACATTCATATTTTCCATATATTCTAATTTAAGATTCAAGATAAGTCTGTTGGAACTACATTTGTCCCTCCCTGAGATGAAGAGGAGAAAGATGAGGCTGAGGTGGGTTCAGCAGTCAGTGAATGGGGCAGCCAGGAGCTGGAGTCTAGGCAGCTTGCAGTTTAACTGCTACGCCGTTCAGCCAGCTGCTTCAGGTACATCTATTTCTTTGACATCACACTCTGTATTCCCAGAGGCTCCTGCGCGTTCTTGCAGAAAACAGAACTATGAGTGAGCATGGCAGGGCAGAAGAGCCTTGTATGAGCCTCAGTTTGCAGGTAACCAATGAAGAATGTAATTTCTTTGGTCCTGATAACTAGACTCCATTTAGAAGGAGTCCTCCCCAGAATGTCTATCCTTGTTTACGGGGACCAATAAATTACCAGCCCTCACTTTTGTTTTCACTAGCTTACCCTTTCCTGAGCAAAATGAACAGTGTTCTGTTGCCTGTAATTCACTGCTCACTATGGGCACTTAGCACAGTTGAACCACAGCTGCCTCTCAATTATCCCTGCAAATGGAGAGTAAGCCATGTGATGGAGAAACCCAAACTGTGCATAATTGAAAACGCTTTTCTACTTGGCTCTCCCATGGGTGAGATATCAATCTGCCTGTTTGTCCTTTAAGATTTATCTCAGCTGGGACATCTTCTCCGAAGCCCCGCCCCCGCCCGCCTCTTCAGGCATCCTTAGGAGTCTTGCTGAGTATTCTTGTGAACTCAGGAGCAGCCTTTCACTGAAAAGTAAAAGTTACCAGGTATCTGATACGTATCATGCCCTGTGCCTTTTCTGGACAGTGAACAAGGCAGATATGGCCCTGAACACACAGCAGAGCTTGTCTTGTCAGGGGAGACGGAATTATGATCAGGCTACAAATGAAGAGTACGAAGTGGGCTTTTTTTTTCATAGGATTTATGACAGCACATGCTGTTTGTGGGTCTGTAAGTTTGCTCAGAGGAGAGTAGATAGGCTATTGTCCTGTGTTCCTATTTGTGAATGCTAAGCAGAGAAATGTCTTCTTGCCAAACATTCAGCAGTAGGTGCTAAGGTCTTTGGCCCTGGCTGTCATCTCTGCATAAGTGATCTGTTCCAACTACATGGACCACTGCAGAATCACAGTGATGCAGAGCGGTAAACATTTCAGACCAGGAGGAACAGGAAGTTCTGGCTCAGCTCTGGGACAGGCTGTGTGACTCAGAGGGGCCACTTTGCTCTGAATCGGCTTCCTCAGCTGGTTGACATTAATATCTAAGGGACTGTCTATAAACTCCTCCATGGCAGGGACCTTGACTTGGTCACTGTTACTTTCCTGAGTGCCTGGCTAAATGACCACAAATTTCTTCTGAATGAATGAGTTAATTAATGTTAAATTACTCTAAAACTACACAGGATACACTGTATACAGAAGACACTTTCAGTTTAGCATATGGTAATTAAGTGTGCAGAGGCAGTTCAACCATGTATTTTGGGTGACATAAGATTCACTTTACCATTTTAAAATGATACTGGACCAAACAGATGCAAAAACGATGTACATCACTCAAAGGCACAAAACAGTATAAGAAGACGAGCTTCCAGGTCTGCGTGCTTCCTTCCGAGAACAAGATGGAGGATAAAATAAGACCACCTTGAGCCAAGCCTGACGTAGAAGAAACATTATAATGGACGCAGCAGGAAGAGATATGCAGGACTTGTCAGCCCTCAAGAAAAAAAGAACAGGTTTCTAATAGCTGTGCCTTAAAAAAAAAACACACAAAAAAACCCCCCCAAAAAACTAATCTTTAGGCCCAGGGCTTATCTCTTGTTAAGTGCACTTAGCCCAAGGAGACAGGAAGTGCAAGAGAGGAAGGAATAGGACCACGGACCTCTCCAATAGATGGGATAAAATATTCATTCCTTAGATGATGTCTTTCTGATAATGATGGACAGATAGGAAGATCAGGAGGCCAGAGTGGTTAAAACAAGTGAGATCTCTTAAGAGCGCACACTGTAACTGTGACACCCAGAGTCAGGTACCATGGAGCTGAAAAGAGCTGTAGGACTGATGTGTTTAGAGACCTGCCTGTGGGGAGTCTATGCCTCACTAGCTCTGTGACCCCAAGCAAGATCCCTGACCTCTGTGAGCCTCGTTTCCCTTGTCTGTAAGGTGGGGAAATGGCTCAAGTCATAAGGGTGTGGTGAGAGAAGAAAGATGCTGCATTTGGGGTGCACAATCAGCACACAGGTACCTATGCCACTTCTAAGAGCCTATTGCCTAATGAAGCAAGTCAGCATGTATCTGCAAAGAACCAGTCCTACTTTGTTGAGCTGTTACTTGTAAACAAGTGTTGCAAACAGCAGAAAAGGGCCTACCCTGATAGATTCTTGAACCTTATTTACTCATTTACAGGTGGGTAAATTGAGGCCCAGAGGGAGAAAGGAAATTGACATTCTGAGTAATGGCTGAGCAGGCACTTGTCCTAAGATCCTGGCTCCGTGCAGCCCACCTCCACATTCTATGCCCCAGGATGCTGCCTGGCCTTTCCAATCCACACACAACCTTGTTTCAGCCTCAGTGACAGGGAGAGGATTCCGCTACATTATCATTGGGGAAACTGAGTCTGAAAGGGAGCAAGTGCCTTGAGTGGCACTGTGACCCAAAGGAAGTCTGTGAGAGAGCCCAAGCTGTAGCCCAACGCTGCCCTAGCCTAAGACAGTTCTTTTCAGTTTGCTGTTGCTGGTTGCTGTGGCAACGACAGCTAAGCTGGATTCAGGAACCTCTCCTACTGTGAAGCCGTATTTTACTCTGAAGGTGCTGTCTCTACCTCGGATGGCATGTTAATGGCTCTCTGGCCTCATGTTCAGATGCTGCAAGGTGGCACAATACTTTAAATCTGACACTGGAGACAACCACAACTTTTCTTTCTGAAGGCAGAAACTTTGTAAGTGATGACTAAACGAGACCTGGCATTTTGAATCGAGGCACCTTGAACCATCCACACCCAGCAATTACTGCTGATGGCAAGAGAAGCATGGACCTGGTAGGGATAAATAAACCATTACTCTATAAGACTGGCTTAGACTGAGTTGTTGGGAGAAATAACATTGTGTTTGATGATTTAGAATTACACACATTTTCTAGAAACTGAAAATATGTTTTACTTTGATTTCACAATTAGCATACGCCCATGGCAGATAAGAGACCACACAAATAAGTAAATTAAAATTACTGATTAAATAAATACATCAAATCTCTCCTCCTATAGTACTTATGCTTCAGATTAAGACTAAAATTCTCATTACTGAATAATTATCGTATTTACTCGATGTGTGGCTGTGCCATGCTTCAGTGACCCAAATGCTTTGATGGGATGTCTGAGGAGGCCAGAGCTCTGTCTTCACCCAGGCTTGATTTGGAGTCTTGACTCTAGGTAGCTGAGCAACCCCAAAGAAGCCGCTCAACTGCTCTGAACCTTAATTTTACTCCATAAAAGCAAGATTAGGGGCTGGAGAGATGGCTCAGCAGTTAAGAGCACTTGCTGTTCCTCTAGAGGTTGCAGGTTTGACTCCTAGCACCCACATAGAGGCTAACAATCATCTCTAACTCCAGTTCCAGGGGATCTGATGACCCCTTCTGGCTTCTGCAGGGCACTGCAAGACATAGGTACACTTACATTCATGCAGGCAAAAATACTCATACACAAAATAAAAATAATAGACAAAATATTTTAAAAAGCAGGATTAAAATATATACTCTATAGTATATTTCTGAGAATTGAATGAGTTCTGAAATGTGTTCAATATTCTCTGCATTTGTGAGCATTACCTCAGCCCTTCTATAGGCAGGATAAAGCCTTCAGCTGAACTTTTCTCCTATTCATACTCCCTGCACTGTTTCCAAATAGTATTTTTGAATTTGTCCTCTATTCACAGGTGTGGGGCTGGGTTTTTAACCAAATTGGATGTGTACATTCTTTTGAGAAGTGAAGGCCCTTCTACGTGGTGGACAGCAATTTTCCAACATACAACCTCAGTACAATGGGATCCTTGGGCCTTGCGCTACTTAAAATATCTATGAACCATGTCAGAATGAAATGCTGTACCCAACTGGTCATTAGAGAGTTCAACATCAAGGCACGCAGGCTACTGGTAAATTGCTGGGGAACCGAAAGACAGTGCACTGAAAGGCATTTCACAATCCTGGAATGATCACAAGACCCCGGCTCTTTGAGTCTGTCAGCACACTAGCATTTACTGGCGGTTGTGCAATGATAGGAGATAAGCATCTTATACCTGGTAAATGTTCTCTTCTGTTTCAGGATCACGGATTGGCTCGTGTCCAGCCTCAAAAACAATGTACTATTACAGGAACGGCCAGAGAGGAAAGGGCAGAAGGGAAAAAAAAAAGAGGAAAAAAGCATTTGGAATTCAAGATACAAATCACAAGGAGCATTGCAGAAACAGGTACAAGAGAAAACACCCAAAGCGACAGTGGATGGCTGGGATACAATGGCCTTGCTGAGGACACCACAGAGCTCATTGCCAGGACTCTGCAGTCAGTGCCCTGGGCCCCTGTATGTCTTTTTGGATACAAGATGTCTTCATTCAGTGGTATTTTGTCTCTGTAGTCGCTGAGCTTCCAGAATGGTGCTGCTGTTGCATAGGAATGCAGGCTGATAAACCCCACCTAACAGTCTAGTTGCCTCCCTTTGCTCTTTGAAGTCCAAGGTCTTCAAGAGCTCAGAAGCCCCTAACCCCCTCATCCCTCATCCATAAAACAGTGCCTTATTTTATATTCTGCTTTAAATACTGAACACCAACTTTTCAGTGTGCATGGTTTAAACGTAAAGGACTGGGACATTTCCAAAAGGCCACAACTTTTCATCCTCTGTGAACCCATTAGCCAGCCAGTGATATATATAATTTTACTTTTATCAAAACAGTAGTAGTTTTCTATGTAAAAGCATGCATAAATATGTAGCAAGCACAGCCATGCATCCTGTTTATAAGTACAAGTTGGAGGTTTTCTTTCATGTTCAAGTACGGTAATTTTTGGTCTCCTTAGAAATAGGCACAGTTCACCCCTTCTTTCTGAATCTCTTTTTGTGCAGACCTTGGACTTGACCCCCAGAGAGGTCATTACCCACCCCTGGGCTATGAAGAAAGTACAGAGAAAGCCCTGGGAAGAGACGTTGGATTCTCTCACTTCACGGCAGCCTCTTGGCATGAGTCAAATAATCAGAGGGTCAGGCTGCATCATCGGGGCTTTGCAGGGATATTCTTACAGCTTTGCTAAAACTCACAAACCATTCTTTGAGTGTGTGCTCAAATGTCACCAAAATGTCAGCCCTCATCCCTCATCTCCTTAACAAGGAGATACGTCCTCATTATCTATCTTCTCTCTAAGAAACTGAGACTGGTCTTGGGACCCTTGAAACATTTATCGTGGATCAAACTTTTCAGGACTGTGGAGGGGACTGAGGCAGGGGCAAGAAGGGAGAAGTGGATCTCCCGATCCCCCATTCTTAATGCTGGCCAAACTTCTGCCAGTATTTATGGCAATTCACTCCTGCAGGGGCTGGCAGCCCTGGCCCTCAGAAATACTCAGTTCTTCTACAAGCACTGTAGTCAGCAGATCCTTCAGGTGTCGGTCAAAATAACTTCACCATGGGTACAGCCAACACTGCACGCAAAACTCTGACTTGGTTCAGAAATTACCTGGTACACAGGATCTTCAACGTCTTCTTCCAAAATTGTCTATCCCAGTGAGGGGAGGGAAGGCGAGCACAAAGGGTACAAAGGAAGAGGTGTGAGATTATATTCAGAAATTGCAGGACAGTAGAGAAACCAGCTTTAGTTAGGGAGGTCATTAACGAAGGAAACACACAGAGAAACTCCAAACCCTGCAACTGCCTCCCCATCCCACTCCTTGTGTTAACAACAGCCAACTGGCTGTGGGTTTTTAGTCTTTCTCCCCTGAAATCTTGCCCTGAATTAAAGATTCCCCTTTTTCCAACATATCTCATCTCAAAAAATAAGGGATCACTTCTAATGGCTTGCTTCGGGTGCTTGTAATCTACCCAGGAGCCTTTCATCTTCATTTATTTCTGCTCAGCAGAGGGAGGAGAAGACCTGACTTGTCAGTTTCCCCATCTGTTTACTGTAAGCCCAGGCTTGCAAACACCAGGATAAATTCATAGGCATACCTGGTACACAGCTTGTTCACACTGCTTGTCCTTTTGTGCCTTTTTTTCCAATTCTTCTCTTTGCTTCAATTCATAAATGAGTTGAAACAGATCTCTCAAGTCCAGAATAACAGGTTCAGCCTGGAGTGAAAGGAGGAAGGTTCATTAATAAAGAAACGTTGCTCAAGAGCAGCAACCAATTTTTGTTTTTGCAGCTCCAACCCACAGCCCTTCCCTTTTCTATTAAACTGAAAGCATTCCATTCTTAATTAATTCTACCTTGTTTATATTGGTTTAGCAAATTGCTTCTGGGCTAAAGTTCATTTCTTCAACTAATTATATTTGCAAATTCATAATAATCATAAGCATAAAAGGCAATGCTTTTATTTATTAGTGATTCTGAATACAATAAAATTGGGGCAGGCCATATGCAAAACAGCTATTTGTTTTCTCTTATTTTCTTTTAAAATGAGGCTATGAACACAAGGAAACATATTTGTGTATGTGCTTCTATCTAGCTTAATCAGAAAGGAAAATAATTAGTCATTAGGAAATACCCATTAGGATAAAAAAAATAAAACTGAATGGGTATGACTATATTTCTTTGCTACAGAGCTGTTTATCTTTCAAAGGTGGGAATCTGAGCATTAGCTGCTGGTGGTGACACATTACATGGACAGGTTAAGCCTTGGATGGTGCTGTCCTCCGGAGCTACAAGGAAAGCACTCTCATTGGACAAGAACACTTACCGCCTGGGCTGTTTTTATGGCCACAAATCTGTGATTCCCTTCTTTCCCACAGACGTATCCAAAGGCCCGGTGATCTGTGATGTCCTTGGCAATGTAGGAGATTTCATGAACGGCATGATGATGTTGGAGGGCCTGGGAGAGACAAAGGAAGAGGATGCTTCAGGGAAGACCCTCCTCGAGCTGTTGATCAATAGGAGCTATGTCCTCCCCATGTCTGAGGCCCAAGGGGTTTAGGGAAAGTTGCTTGGATCAAATGGAAGGAAAAAGAGCTCTGTCTGCCCTTGAGAAAGGGAGATCTCCCTCCCTGGCCTCAGTACCATGACCAGAGAGTTACCAAGACTGTTCAAATGTGAGTTACACCTGCAGAGGTGGCTTGACTCAACCTCCTAGAGCTTCCTGGTCTGATTCAGCCAATGTGTTTCTACTCCTAGTCTTTGTGACACAGTCCAGACCAATCTGGTTGATAGTGAACACACTTATACCCTGGGCATTTGCACGCAGTGGGAGAAGATGTCTATTGAATAAGTCCAAGGATTGCTGATAACGTCACAGTACTACAGCCTTGCATGGCTGCAAGGTTTTTCTGGCAGCTGGTGACCACTTGTATCGAGGGATGAGTGACTTTCTCTTGTTCAACGCCACCATTTTGGGTAGAGGTGGGGACACACACATCTCTGAAACCTTTCATGGGTTGGGCCCTTCTGTCTGTTTGCAATGTCTGTTCACGCCTCCCTGAAACTCTTTCGATGGCCACATGAAATGGTACCACATCAGAGAAACAGTCCCGATATTGCCTATTCTGTTTCCACAGAACTTTAATAATACTAAAACTCCGGAAACTCCTAAAGGAGTCCTCAGATGCCCACAAGGCGCTCTCTGATATATCTGCCTGATTCCCTGTCCTTCTTCCCCATTAGACTTTGTCTTCCTAAGCTCTGCCATCTCTGAGCCTTGCCCTGTGCCCAGCCTATCTTGCTGAACTGAAGTAATTTGGTGGATGATCAGTAATTTGAACTCTCTTGAAATTGGCCTTTCTGCTTTTCTTATCTAATATGCCACAAATAATGTTCTCCATCCTATTAGGCGACGGTGATCTTTGTGGTTATTTTCCTATAACAAATCCATGTACAACATCTTCATGAAACAGTGCTCTGTAAAGGCTTGTAGATGCCAGCCTTTGTCCTTGAGCCTTAAGACAGGCTTTTTCATTACACTGAGTATCAAGAGGCTTCACTTCCAGCCGCTGTGCAAAGACAAACCACCCACTAGCCTATCTGGACCTCAGTTTATTCCCTTAGGAGAACAAAGGTAGATACCAGACCAGAGGCTCTCAGCTCAAAAGCCCTGGCTTTGTAGGGCTCATTAAAGGTAATACAGGGGCTGGAGAGATGGCTCAGCAGTTAATACCACCAGCTGCCCTTGCAGAGGATCCAGGTTCAGTTCCCAGCAATCACATGGCAGCTAACAATTGTAACTCCAGTTCCAGAGGATTTGACTCCCTCTTCTGGCCTCCATGGGCATTGGACACATGTGACACACTCACATACATGCAGACAAACCACTCATACACATAAAATATAAATAAACAAATGTAAAGGTACTACAAAGACGAATTTCAAAATGTTAACACATAAATATATAATTATTCCTAATAAGCCTGTATGTTTTTGTGCAAGCAAGTGAAAATACGTTTATCTGAAATTATATCCGCTTACTTCTGTTCCTTAGCTTAGAGTTGAGTAATTAGTTTGGGTTTAAGTACTCCAAAAAGGAAAAAGAATGAGTTTTTAAAAGTATTTTATATTTTTATTTTAAGTGTATGAGTGTATTGCCTTCATGTAGGTAGGGGTACCCGTGTCATGCAATGCCTATGGAGGTCATAAGAGGGTGTGGGATCCCTGGAACTGGAGTTAAGGACAGTTGTTAGACGCTATGTGGGTGCTGGGAATCAAACCCGGGTCCTCTGTGAGAGCAGCCAGTGCTCTTAACCACTGAGCCATCTCTCTAGTCCCAGGAATGAGTTTTGTGATGGATAAAATCTTTCTTATTACTGAATCACAGGAGGGAGGGAGACAAGTATGCAGCACAGGGATAGTCATGAAAGCCTCAAGAACCACCAGTGTAGATATTCTCTAAGGTCCTGGTCCAGAACCCCATGTCCCCTAAGCCATTAGGACCTCCTGGCTCAGTGGGCCTCTGGTTATCACCTCAGTTCTAGACCACTGACCTTCCTCAGAGTGTCCTAGGCTTCCGACCATATGAATCATCTACTTCCCTGCAATGCTCTGCCTTGCCTTCACCTACCAGGATGGGACATCCACTCACACCTCTGATGACCCTTAGAATACTCCCTTTCTCTTGATTCTTCTCTGGTTGCCCAGCTCTCCCTGGACAGCCTCATGACCCTGGTCCTTCAACTAGCAATGTGAGGACCGTACACATCTCATGGATTTTGACAGGATTAAAGTTGGTAGAAGAAGTGTTTGTTAGCCAAACAATCAGAATATACTTATTTTGTTTTATCCAAAGGACATATTGAGCTAAGGGAGGAAAACTGCTCAAAGGGCAGTAGCTTTTCATGGCGTTAATGATGTGAAATTGATGAGATTTGTATTCATGCAACATGGGGCATTGATTTACAAGCTTTTGTAAGCTCGAATGGTGGACAGCAGGGGAAATGGGAGACAGACAAAGACATTCTTTCCTTCTCTCCCTTTCCTGAAAGTGTTTCTCCCTCTGCATAATGTGGCAGATATGATCCACGTTTCCTATTAAATCCAAGTTTGACGACAGTGCCTTATTGATTGCCAAGTGGAATATTGCTCTAAAATTAAACTGCGATTAGAAGTCTTCCTGATGAAATTAGATTTGGAGATGACTGTGCAATAGTAAAATATCACCTACCATGCAAGACGGCAGATGGAGATGTTTTAATTTATCTAGGAATCCTCATTAAGTACTTTAAAATCAAAACATTTTTAATGCCTGATGATACCTAATATTGCCTTGCAAAGTGTCAGCTGTGTGTGTAGGTGCGCAAAACGCTTAAAGATATTGTAACATTATCTTTTCCTGTAGTTAATTTTATGAGATGTTAAAAAGCATTGTTCTCCAAGTATTTGATTTATTTGGAAACTAACCGTCAGTGAGGGAATGTCTTTACTTCTGCAACCTTCGCTATGCAGATACAACACAGACACTCGGAAATACAAATTTATTAGAATTTGGCTAATCCCACACTTGTATTACCACATTCATTTAGAACTCAGAGCATCCTTGCAAACGGTTGTTCACTGAGCCTCAAAATTGCCCACTGTCTTTAAGTAGATTTTTATCACAGCACAATCAAAGACACTTGGAAGCCAGAAGGGACCTTAAGTATTATACAGTTTGGCTTTTAGTCGATTCATGGAGAGACTGAAGGCCAGAGTTTTTATCTGCAGAACACTACTATACCCAAAGCTTGTCTTTCTACACAGGATGTAGGAGAGGGGAACAGGGTTATGTAGAATCTAGGTCTCCTTCCTTAAGATGCTTGGCTCTCCAGTTCAACGAGTAAAGGATGAACCTCATGAGATATGTGAGGAAGCAAAAAAAAGGAAGAACTGAGTAGGAGGGTCGGACAGAGACCTGCGATTCTGCCAGTATCTGAGATCAGAGGGCCATAATCAGAAGGTAAAAGGTGAGCTAGAGGCCGTAGAGAGTCAAGGCAGCACAACCTGGAAGCTTACTCCCTGTTCTTGAGAGTTATTTTCATTTTCAGTCCATGCTGTCCTGACCTTTCTTTGTGTGGTATGTGCAGCCAAGGCCATGGAGACAAAGGGCGGCTGCCATCGGTCATGGGTGACAAGGACCACTTTACCCTGGGAGGGTTTCTGTGGGGAATTGTGGGCCATGGCAGATTGTTCTGGAGGCTGCATAGGCTGATCAGTCAGAGATTACTGGGCCAAAGTGGGGCGGTGAGGGTGGAAGAAAGGCAAATGTTAGTCATTTCTGTTTCATACTTCTTGCTGGAAACTGTTAATTGCCTCAGAGGAACTTACTCTAGATATCAAAGCACTAGTAAATTAAGCAGGCCATTGTCTTATCAACAGAACTTTCAGGCTCACTTTGTCACTTTGCTGCAGTTTCACTTAGTCCTTACATCGTGAATAAAAGCTGTTGGCAAAGAAGACTGCGGATCACCCAGGCATCAACACGCCCACTCCAATCTAACCCTCCTCAACACAAACTTCAAGTACCTTGTCCTACAAATATGCCGAGTACCCCTTCCTTCCCTTTCCGAGTTGGTACTTCCCACCGTTGTGCTCACGTGGTTTTCTCTAATGAGCACCCTCCTCTTCTCCTGTCCTGTGATATGTCACTATACTATTAACTAAATCGCAGCTGTGCCTCAAAGTCTAGCTCTGATCTATCTCGCTCATCTCGGGAGCCTTCCCTGTCTCCTCCATCTCCTTCATCAGTGATTCTCATCTCTATATCCCACCGCATTGCAAGAAGCTGTTGTGTAAGATGCTCTGATCTTGATTTTCTTTCCAAATCTACCCATTCATCTGGTTATCCACCCACGTATTCATTGGGGGTCTGCTGTGTTCCAGGTCTCATGCTGTGTGATATACTGACACAGATGATTAAAGCATGTTCCTTCCTCAAGGACCTCACAATTTCATAAAAACATGAAACTTACAGTCTCAGTATAACATGGCAAGCTTTACATAAAAGGCAAGTCACACAGACTGGGAGCATAACCGATGAAGGGACATTAGGGAAGGTTTGACAAAGGAGATCATGATCCTGAACTAAGTCTTGAAGGATAAATGGGAAGTCCTCAGAAAAGTATGGGAAAGGATGTGTTAATGAAGGCACCTAGGTCCCAAGCACAGGATACTGTGAATTTCTGTGGGCATGTTTTATCTCCACTTTGAGAATGTTAGACCTTCAGAGAAAGATCCATGACTGGTTCTCCTCAGTTCAAAAACAACGACCACCACCACCACCACCACCAAAGTTTTCCTTGGAACAGTAAGTGATACAGGATGAGAACTGAAGGAGAGAAGGGAGGAGACAAGACAAGGAAGGGAGATGAGGAGAGAAGGCTAGGCCAAGCTATTCTGATGTGTACTACCCAAGAC